CGCCCGCTGCTCCCCTCAGCAGTGTACTTCGGTCCTTCTGCCTGCTCTGCTCCCCGCTCTGGCTCTGGTGAATTCTCTCACCCTCCCGCACCTCTGACTGTACCCAGTGCTTGTATAAACAGAACAAACAAATAAATAAATAAATAACATGACTCCATAAAAAAAAAAAAAAAAAGATTAAAAAAAAAAAATTAAAAAAAAAAAAAAAAAATTTTCACCCAATCAGTGGGAAGTCTTCTGTTTTTGGTTAGTGTCTCTTGCTTTACAGAAGCTTTTTAGTTTGAATGTAATCCCAGCTGTTTATCTTTTCCTTGACTTTCTTTGCTTTGGGTGATGAGTCTTTAAAGATATTACTGAGATGTAAGGCTTGTAGTGTTTTACCTATGTTTTTTTCTATATATTTTATGGTTTCATGTGTTATGTTCAGTACTTTTATCCATTTAGAGTTGATTTTTTGCATGGTGTGGGTAGTAGTCTAGTTTCATTCTTTTGCATGTAGTGGCCCTGTTTTTCCAGCACCATTTATTGAACAAACTGTCCTTGATCCATTGTATGTTCCTTGCTCTTTTGTCAAAGATTAGTTGCCCATATATGTGTGGTTTTATTTCTGGGATTTCTATTCAATTCCATTGGTCTGTGTGTTTGTTTCAGTACCATACTGTTTTACTTATTATGGCTTTGTAATATAGTTCAATGCCTGGGAGTGTGATACTTATTCTCCTTTTTTTTAGGCACAGAACTTAGGCTATTTTAGGTTTTAGCCACTCCAAATAAATTTCATCAGCATTTGTTCTATATCTTTGAAGAATGTCATTGAGATTTTTATTGGAATAGCATTGAATATGTAAATTAAATTCCTTTTGGGAGAATGGCCACTTGGATAATATTAATTTTTCCAATCCATGAGCAGGGGAGGTTTTCCATTTTTATTGTCTTCTTCTGTTTCTTTTACCATGTTTGGTAAAACATAGGTCCTACACCTATACAAATATCAACTATCAAGTATTTGATTTTTTTCTTAATTATACAGGGATAGTTTTCTTCATTTATTCCACAGCTAACACCACATTTATAAAATAAAATCTATAAACTTGTTCTCTAAAATAAGGTACAATAGGAGGCTGTGCACTCTCACCACTTTTGTTTGACATAGCCCTGGAAGTCTTAGAGCTTCATTCAGTTTAAGAAAAACAAAAGGCATCCACATCAGAAAGGAAGAATTAAAACTTTATTTTCAGATGACCATGTTATTTAATGATAACCAAAATGATCAGAAAAAAATGTCATAAGTAATGAACTAGGGGCCTCCCTGTGGCACAACGGGTTAAACACAGAACTGTGAAGCTATCTGCAGCCTCTGCAGCACAAATTTGATCCCTGGCCTGACAGGGAGCAAACTCTATGGTATAGCAGACATCTCCTGTTGTGCCTGCTGGTCCCCTCAGCAGTGTATTTCAGTAGGTCTGCCTCTTCTGTTACCTTCTTTGTCTCTGGTGAATCCTCTCACCCCCTGCACCTCTGGCCTGTGCCCCAGACCTAGGATGCATAAATAAATAAATCTTAAAAAAAAAGAAGTAATGAACTAACTCAATAAAGTCCTGGGACTTAAAATCAATATACAAAATTAATTGCATTTTGAAATACTAAAGCCAACTGTCAGAGAAATTAGGAAAACAATTCCACTTACAATGGTATCAAAAAGAGTAGAGAACCTATGAAAAAATTTAACCAAGCAAGTGAAAGAGCTATACATGGATAATGTAAGACTCTGATGAAAGAAACTGAGAAGACATAATAAATGGATAGTTATTCTCTGCTCATGGAATGGAGGTATTGATGTTGCTTATGTGGCCATATTGCTTAAAGCAATCAATAGATTCAGTGCAATCCCAATGAAAATTCCAGTGGATTTTCCCAGAAACAGATCATTTAATCCTACGATGTAATGAAACCACAGAAGATTGAGTAGCCAAAGCAATTTTGAGTAAGAGGAACATCTTTTCATTATTAAGATAGAAGAATTTCCTGAGCACAAATTACATGGTGGATGACCTTGAAATTGTTCTTTTCTCAGCTATTTTAATGGTTATGACAAAATTTAGAAAAAGGGAAGTAATTCCTTGAGAGAAGGAGGTGAGGCATAAGTGTAGGCAACACTGGAATTTTTCAAGCAAGAAAAAGAACATGATACAATAAGGAATATAAATACCCCAAGCATTTATTCCAGTGGGTACACACCCTACCACATATTGTCTCCAGTCCCCTATACCTCAATGGACAGCATCAAAACGAATTTTGTTGCATAGTAATCAAATGTGTGATTTAAAATTGTCTCATCACCTTCAATGCTTTTTTCCTAGCTCAAGACCACAGTAGATAAATCCATTTTTGAAATTTAATTTCCCATGTAGGCTCTACTGGGAGATGTATTTTAAAATTGATTTGTGTCAGCGATTATGGTAGGCATTGTATACATCAAACTAAAAAACAGAATAAAAGCAGGAGATCAGACATAAAACACAACAGCATATTTAAGTCTACCTTATCAGTGAGATGAGTTAAGGTGCTTAAACAGAAAAGAATGCCAGAGCAAATGTGCAAATTTGGGTTACAATTTTTCCTTATAGTAAAACTATATAAATGGGTTTAGTTGCCAAATATAGTTTTTTCCATATGTGTAACACAACTCATGACGATTCTTCAGGAAAAATAAAGAAAAATATTTGGGATGATATATGTTGTTTGAGAATAAATTATTATTTTTTTTTTTTAAAATTATTAATTTATTTATACAAGCACTGGGTACAGTCAGAAGCGTGGGAGGGTGAGAGAATTCACCAGAGCCAGAGTGGGGAACAGAAGAGGCAGACCGACGAAATACACTGCTGAGGGGAGCAGCAGGTGCAGCAGGAGGCGCTGCCAAAGCTGCGGGCAGCTTTGCAGCCCAGTGCTCAAGCACTAGGCCACCAGGGGAGGCCCAGAGAAGAAATTATTCTTAAGCTATACATAGTTCCCCACTAAAAAATAGGAATTACTGATTATTTCTTTTTTAAAATTTTATTTATGTATACAAGAACTGGGGTGTAGGCCAGAAGTATAGGGGCTAAGAGGATTCACCAGAGACAGAGTGAGAACACGACAGGCAGATCTACTGAAATACACTGCTGAGGGTGAAGCAGGTGAGATTTGAGAGGTCTGCTGTGCCATGTGGGCCAGCTCCCCATCCTGCCCGCATATAACTCATGCTGCAATGACTGGTAACAGCTTGATAGCACTGTCTTTAACCCCTGCACCACCAGCGAGGCCCATATTTCTGAAAAAGTGTTGCAAAACATTTTGGAAATAACATTGGAGAGACTGAGTATGTATCAGAGTAGAAAACATACTAATGTGAACTTAATAATTGTATAGGGAATTTTATTGGCTAGAGGTCAATGAAATGGAAATTCTGGGATATAATTCATAAGAACAAGTTCAGTTCCCCTGGTGTGATGACATAATAGCAATTTTTGGTTCCAAAATTTTCAGCTCTGCACTTGCAGGCATATCTTCAGCCCCTAGACAATTTTTTGGCAGCCACCCCAAACATTTTTTTCAGAGCCCCCTTTATGTCTCTGTTCCTCAGACTGTAGATGAAGGGATTCAGCATGGGTGTGACCACGGTGTACATGACCGATGCTATTGCACTTGAGTGTGGGTTGTGGGGAACGGCGGAGCTAATGTACACTCCGAAGGCAGTGCCATAAAATAAGGAGACAACTGAGAGGTGAGAGGCACAGGTGGAAAATGCTTTATGCTTCCCCTGAGCTGAAGTGGTTCTACATATGGAGGAAACTATTTTAGAGTAAGAGTAAAGGATCCCAGTGAGGGGCCCCCCACCCAGGAACACCATTAGAAAATATATCACCAAGTCATTAAGAAAGGTGTCAGAACAGGAACACTGAAGAACCTGGTTGAGTTCACAGAAAAAATGGGGGATTTCCATGTTTGAGCAGAAAGACAGTCGCAACACCATTAGGCTATGTAATAAGGGATTCAAGACACCCATGCTCCAGGACACCAGGACCAGCAGCCCACAGAGCCGGGGGTGCATGATGACCGTGTAGTGCAGCGGGTGGCAGATGGCCACAAAGCGGTCATAGGCCATCACGGTCAGCAGGAAGTTATCCAGCCCAGTAAAGAGCATGAAAAAATACATCTGGGTGATGCAGCCTTCAAAGGTTATGGCTTTGCTCTGTGTCTGGATGTTGACCAGCATCTTGGGGATGGTGGTGGAGGTGAAACAGATGTCCGCAAAGGACAGGTTGGAGAGGAAGAAGTACATGGGGGTGTGGAGGCGGGAGTCTGATCTGAAGGCCAGGATGATGAGCAGGTTCCCCAACACAGTGATGAGGTACATGGAGAGGAAAAGCAAAAAAATGAGGGGCTGCATTTCTGGTTCCTTCGATAACCCCAGAAGAATAAATTCTGAACTGTGAGTGTCATTCCTTGGTTCCATGTGGCTGACTAGGAAAGAAAAAGTAATGATTTATTTTTCACAAATGGGCATTACTCACTTAGAAGAAATGCTATTATGTATTTTTCAGTGAAGAAATAAATACCAATGTGATTTTATGGAATGTTTTCTTTTCACTTTATCTCGTGTCTCTCCAATTGGATGAGATCATGTATTTTGTGTGTCTGCTAGTGGCCTGTTCGGCCACCATTATTTTATGTGCACTTCTGCCTTCCTATACCAAGGTTAGAACTGCCCAATCAATCAGTCATAGGAAAATCTTACAAGGTATCTTTCAAATCAAGCAAGAATAGAAAGCTTGATCTGTCTGGGAAGGGCATGCATCATGAGTTATGACCGGGAACACTTGGGGGGCTGACTGATGTATGACAAGGGACCCCCCCGCTGTTCAATGGAATGGCTTGTTGATAAGATTAGAACCATGGCTGGGGTTTGGGGTCTAGTTTCAATTACAACACTTGGTCATTAAGCAGATAAGAATTACCTGGTCAGCAGACTCATGTCCCCCGGCTGCCCTAGATGAAAAAACTCATTCTTTAGTTTCAACCATCTTTTTCTCTTTGTCCTCCTGTCCCACATTACTGTGCTGTAGGATTAGTCTATCAATGAAAAAGCCATCATCTTCCTTGTTCAGCAGCATCCTGCATTGTGCAGCCTGCTCCATGACTCCCATGTCTCTCAGTGTGGTGTTGCCGACACAACAGGATGCTCAGAAATAAAACTTCTGTAATTCATTGACTTAGAAACAATATCTGAGTGAATACAAGAACACATGATGTGTCAGATGGTGACTGTTGCTATGAAGACAAAGAGGACTGGTGTAAGGAAAGTAGTCAAGGTGAAAGTGTTATTTTTTTTTTTCACTTGGTGTTTAGGCAAAAGCTGTCAACAGGGCACATTTGAATAGAAACCTCAGGAAGGTAGCAGGAGATGTAAATTGTCCAGGGAACTGTGTGCACATACAGTGGGAACACAGAGTAGAATTCTTGAGGAAGATACTGTTTGTGATTTTTTTTTAAACTTTAAAAAAAATATGTACGCATACAAGAGCTGGGGTATAGGCCAGAAGTGTGGGGGTAGGGGTTGAGAGGATTCACCAGAGACAGTGGGGAGCAAAACAAGCAGACTGACTGAAACACACTGCTCAGGGGAGCAACGGCCGCAACAGGAAATCTGCAGCACCATGTGGGACCCTTGCTGGCGAGCCGGGATTGAACTGGTGCTGCAGAGGCTGAGGACAGATTCACAGCCCTGCACACAACTGCCTGCGCCACCATGGGAGGCCCTTTTTTCTCTTTTTCTTTCTTAATCTTTTTTTTTTTAATTGAGGTAATATTGGTTTACAATGTTTGTATCTAGAGGTATTGCTCTCCCCCTGCAGGTGTTGCTACCACACCACACCCACCACCAAACACCTGAGGCCTCCAGCATAATCCACTGAGCTCCTTTCCCATTTTGTTTCTCCCCTCCCGCTCTGGTAGCCTCGGTTCTACAGTCAGAGTTCTAGGGTTTGTTAAAGGTTTGGTTTCAATCAGCCATTTGTTTTGTTTCTCTGTATTCCACATATAAGTGGAATTTGTCTGGTATTTGTCTTTTTCCTCTGTCTTACTCACAGTGCATAATCTCATCCATACATGTTGTTGCAAATGATAAGAGTTTGCTAAAAGAAGTTTTTTAAATGATTGAGCAGCACTAGCTAAGTTATAATTTCATGGTATTTATGATATTGCAGTGACAGCTCAACCATTCCTGTAAGAAAAATTTTAAGAAAAGGCCATGGAAAAAGCCAGCCTGATTGACTGTTAGATTTACCCTCACAAAAAATACAAGCACTGACAATTCCCCCCAAATACATCAATATATACATTGAAAGAATTGAATGAGAAACTGCAAAGTTGTTGCAAACAGCTCCAAACCTAGTTTGAATGAATGCAATGAAAGCAGCAAGGAAAACACTCTGACTCCACAATGCAAAGGTTAAGGTCTTGCAAAGACAGCAACAACAGAGAAAACAAATGATGAACCACAAATATAGTCAAACTTACAATAAAATTATTCTGAAGTACAATGGAGCATTACCCAGCAATCAGAAAAAGATAAACTCATGCAATTTGCAGCAACATGGACGGAGGTGGATGGGATCACGCTCAGCGAAATAAACCAGAAAGAAAAAGAAAAATACCGGATGGTCTCACTCATAGCAGGAATTTAAAAAACCTAAATAAGGGACGAGGAAAAAGACTAATTATAACAAAGCAAAATCAAAATCAACAAGCAACTATAAACCAGAGACACACTGGGGGGTAGTGGGGAGGAGGGGAGGAGGGCCTAGAGTCAAAATAATGGGGTGGGAATTGTACGGGGACTATAACCAAGATGAAAATGCATACATTGTGCAAAAATGAAAAATGATGTAAAAAGTATAATATAAAAAAATTAAAAAAATCCACTTAACATAAAATGGTGAAAGAAAAAAAATATTGTGAAGTAAAGCTCTTCAATATAACCACCTTTGGGGCCTTCTCGATGGCGCAGTGGGTTGAGCACAGCACCCTGAAGCTGTCCACAGCCTCTGCAGCAGTTTCTATCTCTACCCCACCCCACCTTCAGGGAGAATCCACTCATGTCTTGCTGCTCCCCGCTGCTCCCCTCAGCAGTGTCCTTGGTCCGTCAGCCTGTTCTGATCCCTGCTTTGTCTCTGGTGAATTCTCTCACTCTCCTGCGTCTCTGACCTGTACCCCAGTTCTTGTACAAATAAATAAATCTTAAAAGAAAGTTGAGCACAGGGCTGTGAAGGTGTCCACAGCCTCTGCAGCGGGGTTTCCATCCCAGGCAGCCGAGGAGATTCCCGCATGGCGAGGCAGAGCTCTCCTGTCTCGCCTGCTGCTCCCCTCAGCAGTATGTTTCATTAGTCTGCCTGTTCTGGTCCCTGCTCTGTCTCTGGTGATTCCTCTCACCCTCCCGCACTTCTGGCCTGTATCCCGCTCTTGTATAAAAATAAATAAATCTTAAAAATGATGTAAGAAATATAAAAAAAAAATTTAAAAATCTTAAAAAATTACCCACCTTTGCTAGTAATTTATTTTTGTCCAGGTGGAAACCTTATAACCAAAGGAATAGAAAATACCATACATCTGTTTCAGGAACTAAAGTTGCATGACAGTATTTGCAAACAAGCAGTTTCTGGTCTTCATCTCCACTATATAGGAAAATTTTTGAATATACCCCATCTTAAAAGTAAAAAACAAAACAAAACAAAGAAGCCCCTATTCTAGTCGATAACCTTTGGTTAATAATCTATTAACTCACTGCCCTTAACTGCAAAACTCCATGTACATACTCTTAAAAAATCATTAAAGTTATTTTAAAATTTTCATTCATTGTTGATTTTTATAAACTCTTTGATTTCTTCCCTCAGCTATAGTTCCTATAGCTCTCCCACCACCACAGCACCCGTGACCCATCACCTTAGTCCCTTGTGCTCTTCCTTCCCCTGCTGTGTGCCTGAGAACTAAGTGCAGCTGGCAAATTTTGTCTTTTGTTGGACATATTCTATTTTTACTGGAAACATTTCAAAATTCCCAATCTTTTTCCATTTGACTTTCTAGTGATCATTTATGAGTACCTGATCTTTGTGATGCCTAGATTTTATTCATTCATTTGTCTGGAATCATACAAGAATAATTAATTAGGCAAGGAAGCAAACAGGCAACCACAGGTGAATGTTCCTGGCCCACATATTCTCTGACCTTGTTGTTCAATAGCCACTGTGTTGGACTAACCTTGGTGGGATTTCTGAGAGAAAGGTCTCCGTGTGGAAGTCTGAATTTCCCATTGGATGGTAGTGATGGAGATTCAGGCTCTGTTCCAGACCAGAGAGTAAAAAGGAATAAGAACTGATCCCAAGCTAAACCTGGCTCCCTGAAAAACAGAACTGAAACCCAAATCAAAACCATGCCCCGTTTATCTCAAGGTTACACACTGGACAGGAGGTATTTACAGCTTCCACCTGTGCTCCTTGGCACATTTCCCTCTTGTGCCCTCTCAGCACATGATTCCCTTCGGACACTGGTCTGCATTGAAAGGAAAATTTTCTACTGATTGCTCCCAAGAGACCAGGCTGGAGAGAAGTGAATAGTTTCTTTTGTGTTAGGTATTACTCTTTTTCCATGACCGCATTTTCTGTCAAGAGGTCTAAAAATCCTAGCACCTTATTGCTTTGGGGAGAAGATCAGGGTGAGGCCGGAGGCATGGGGGTGAAAGAATTCACCAGAGACAGAGTTGAGAACAGAATAGGTGGATTTGTTGAAATACACTGCTAAGGGAAGCAGTGGCGAGATGGGAGAAGTCTGTGTGAGAAGGAGCATTTGAGGGTCTCATTTCTACTCTTATCCCTGCTTCCTCAAGGGGCTGCCAGTTTGCATTAGTTACCTACTGGGATTCCTGGTCTCTGATACTGGCTTTTCACGCAGAAACATGTTCTGGCTTTCTCTTTTGTGTCCCTAGAGCTGGACTGGTTCTTCTGGTTGTGGTGGTCGGTTTTATAGCCTTGTCCAGAGGCAACCTTATCCATTCCCTTATCCATTCCAGCCTTCCTAAGCTGCCTGCAGGGTCAGGAGTGGGGGCTTACATTTTAACCTAAATTGTACCCTGAAATTATCTCAAATCTCAGGCAAAGTTTTCTCCATATTTAAGACTGAGGAACTTGTCTTGTTAGGTCCCTTGTGTTTTCAAAGTATTGAATTTTGATGCGGGCACAGCCATGATATCTCTAGAAAAATGCTGTTCTACTTTTCAACAAGAGGGAAATTGTGTCCTTTGATATAAATCTTGGGTACCAAACTCCTTTGCTTTATGACACATTTGTTATTATAACAGTTACAAATCTCTTACTTATATCACAACTTAAGAGATGTCATACACTCCCTCATTTCAACATGTTTGTTAAGTCTAAGAGATACACCTATTGAAGCATGATGATCTGAGCTAAACCTCCCAGGTTTTGTTTGATTTCATTTATAGAAAAGTCCATCTTATGGTGTGGAACTAAACTTCAGAAATGGAGCTTAGAGAGGTTTAATGCTCTATTAATATTATATTGAAGTAGGGATGATACTTTTAGTGTGATTTGTCAAAATGCTTCCAGTTCTCAAACTTCATGGTAGCAATTCATAGAAAGAGATAAAGTCGTTCCTGTAGATATTTGGAAGGATGCCGCTAAAAGCTGCAATACACAGGATAGCCCTGATACAAATGCTATTTTGCACAAGATTGACAATGAGAAGGTGAGAAAACCTTTTCTATACCAACACTTCTGCAATTAGCACACTAGTATAAATGGAGGTTCAGATTCAGCTGGGCTGGTGTGCCCAAAATATGCATTTTCTTTTCTTATCTCTTTTCTTTTCTTATCTCTTTTCCTTTCTTATCTCTTTTCTTTTCTTTTCTTTTTTTTTTTTTTTTTTGGATGAGCATAGTTCTTTCTGAGTACATTTTTGTGTTTTATTTTATTATTTTATTTTTATTTTATATATTTTTTACATCATTTTTCATTTTTGCACAATGTATGCGTTTTCATCTTGGTTATAGTTCCCATACAATTCCCACCAC